CCTGAGGGCACTGAATGGGAGGACCTGAGCATGTCAGTGAGTTCTAGTCTTCATCTATGGGATCAAGGACCCAAGCTCAAAGTCAGGTTAAGTCTCTTATCAGATAGATGATAGTCTTGCCCTCAAAGTTCTCAGCCTAGACAGTCTCCATTTGTGTCCCATCCCCACCCCAGATTCCCTCTCCACCCTCTGCACTTACTCAGTGCCTGAGGAGCTGGCCTTTAAGTAGTCTGTCATTCATGCTCCTTTTGCTTCTAAATCAGTTTAGCCATTGAGAGTCCCCAGCAACAGATCAGAAGGTGAGAGTAGAATGACAACAACCTAACCTCATTGGATTCTGTGAGAACAGGTAAATCTAACCCCTCTTAGCTATTTCACATAGCCAGTATAACAGGAAATATCATCATTCTATGTTGATGCATGATGAGACATGGGTAAATCTGTCCAGTGCTTGGGGGAGAAAATGGAGGTTACCAGGGCTTCTGTCTCCTGCCCTTGTAGCCCTCCAACAAAGAAAACAATGGAATATAATGAAATCCCAATTCAGAAAACACTCATGTCCAGTCATTGAGCTCCTTTGCCAGCAGCAGGTTGGCAGTTTCAAGTCTCTTTTCCCTCAACTTGGGGCACTGGAGTGAATGGCATGGGTAGCCTGGCTGAGGGGGTCTTTCAATAACCTCCAGGAGGTCTGCTCCTCAGGGCATTCACCCGAAGGGCCTTATTCCTTATGCCTGCCATAGCCACTCCACCTGCTTGTCTTTGTCAACTCCACCATCTGCTGGTCCCTATTTTTAACATAGTTCTGAGAATTCAACTCAGAATATCTAATGTTATTATTATTTTAATTCAGCTCTGAGTGCTAAATAATGACATCTCTAAAACAGGGGTCTCTGTTCTCAATTAGATTTGTTTTTCTTTAAATCACACTGCTCTATTACCAAACCAGAGTACTTATTATTTTTAACATGGCATTGTGATCTTTATTCCATTAAGTGACCTTACAACTAGGAGTAAAATAGAAACATGCTTTTAATATACTAACAGCATAATCTCATCACATTGCACTTTTAAAAAACTGTATTAAATTTTGAAGCCATTCAAAGGCAAAGGTCTAGCAGAAAGTACTTTTAATGACTATAATACATAAGAAGTTGTTATAGAAAATAGATTTGATGTATTTAAAATGTAGAATTTATTTCTGCATGGGGAGAGGGACTGTTAATACCTAAGACATAAGACAGGATTAAGACACTGGTCAAGTGGGCTCCTTCCTTAGGCAGGCTCTCTAGGAAATTTCTTCTGGAAGTGACAAAGTTTCCCTCTCCCTCTGACCTATAGAAATGTCAACTTCCACAAGGGTAGAAATCTTAAGAAGTATATGAGGTTTATTTCTATGTCTGTTCATTTGTTTGAGAAAAGGAGATTGTGATTAAGAAAGCCAGATCCCACATGGCTGACTGTTGTTCAAATCCCAGTCAGTCCTTCAGCCTGCGTGCGTGCATGCCCAAAACCCTCATGGGAGGGTTGAAGGTAAAAAGACTGCAGCATGACCATACCCCATTGGGGGAGCATACTCTCTCTCTAATGAACACACATGACCTTGGACATTAGAAGAAGAAGGGGGAAAAAATTCCGAGTGTCCAATTCATACCATGATTGCAATAACATCAGAATTTCTAGAGAGGGGACCCAGATGTGTATTTTAGAGCATTCTGAGCAATTTCCACAGTCAGCCCAAATTGTGCCCACTATCACTTCAGTTGTTCTCCCCAGTACCCAGGTCATACAGGATGTTGGCCTATCATCCTTCAATACAGCCAGCATCACCACATAGCTCAGAAAGCAGCAACCCAGCCTCTGCAGTCGACTCCTCAGCATGCAAATCTTGCCTCCTTTACAGTTCCAGCTATGGGACCATAGGTGTGGCAGGGGATACATATTCCTGTGTCTCCATTTCCTCATTTATAACATAAAGACAAAGCCTTTTGAGGGGGGTCATTATGACAAATAAGGTGATGGTTGTGTAAGAGGCTGACTGGAGCAGTTTTTACTTCTGGGATCTCAGTATTCCCTCTTCAGTTAACAGGTGAAAGGCAAGCAGTGTTTGGTGGTTAGGGAGGTATCAGCTACAATTTCTCTTTTCTCTGGTTTTCCACCAGTAACCTTTACCTCAGGGTTTGAGGTGGGATATCACAAAGGTTTATAAACCTGTCCTGCCTGCAAATTGGCCTTTACAGACTGCTCCTGAGATCAAAGGGCAGTGTTTCTGGGTGGTGGGCATGGAGGAGCCACTCTGGGACATGTGGTTCCTGGACACCTTAGGAGCATTCATTAGTCTCCTGGGGGGAAGGGCATCCACTCTAGACCCAGAGGTTTTCTGATCTAAGGGGCGATGAGGAAGGGGCAGGCCTTTCTGTCTTCTTGCCCTTATATGTGCAAAGTCACCAAGAGCGGAGTTCTGCTAGGCACCTCGGGCAACAGGAAAGATAGATGCCTGTGACCCAACTTCCTCTTTTCTGAGAATCGGAGATTCTGAATCGCAGTAAAAGCACTGTGATTCAGATTTTGTATAGAGACAAGAAAGGTCACACTAAAACAGTAGTCTTAAGTTTTAATAGGTGCAACTTCTCTTGAACACTTATTTGTAACTCCACAGGGCACTGAAAAGAGAGTTTTATTGGAAGATGGTCCATTCAGCATCCCTGACAGATGCCAGGTGCTTGGCGCATGTTATCTCATCACACCAGGCAGAGGCTCATGGAAGAGAAATAGGCTGCCTGAGGCCACTGAGTTGGCAAATGTGGAATTTTAGAGACAAGGGTTTTCTGAGGCTCTCCAACTTGTACACACCTCAGGATCACTTGAGGACTTCTTGAAACAGATTGCTTGGTGCCACCTGCAGAGTGTCTGATTCTATGGTGTGGGGCATGGTCTGAACATCTGCATTCCTAACAAATTCACAGGTGGTAACTGATCCTACTGGTCCCCAGGGCCACAGCTTTATAGCAACAGCATCGATGACATAAAACTCAGCCACAAAGCAAAGGGGAGAGGGCAAGTCCTTAAGAATAACTGGGGCCAGCAGGTGATATGGTTGTTAGGGTGCTGGACTCCTCTCAGTATTCCCTCTTCAGTTAACAGGTGAAAGGCAAGCAGTGTTTGGTGGTTAGGGAGGTATCAGCTACAATTTCTCTTTTCTCTGGTTTTCCACCAGTAACCTTTACCTCAGGGTTTGAGGTGGGATATCACAAAGGTTTATAAACCTGTCCTGCCTGCAAATTGGCCTTTACAGACTGCTCCTGAGATCAAAGGGCAGTGTTTCTGGGTGGTGGGCATGGAGGAGCCACTCTGGGACATGTGGTTCCTGGACACCTTAGGAGCATTCATTAGTCTCCTGGGGGGAAGGGCATCCACTCTAGACCCAGAGGTTTTCTGATCTAAGGGGCGATGAGGAAGGGGCAGGCCTTTCTGTCTTCTTGCCCTTATATGTGCAAAGTCACCAAGAGCGGAGTTCTGCTAGGCACCTCGGGCAACAGGAAAGATAGATGCCTGTGACCCAACTTCCTCTTTTCTGAGAATCGGAGATTCTGAATCGCAGTAAAAGCACTGTGATTCAGATTTTGTATAGAGACAAGAAAGGTCACACTAAAACAGTAGTCTTAAGTTTTAATAGGTGCAACTTCTCTTGAACACTTATTTGTAACTCCACAGGGCACTGAAAAGAGAGTTTTATTGGAAGATGGTCCATTCAGCATCCCTGACAGATGCCAGGTGCTTGGCGCATGTTATCTCATCACACCAGGCAGAGGCTCATGGAAGAGAAATAGGCTGCCTGAGGCCACTGAGTTGGCAAATGTGGAATTTTAGAGACAAGGGTTTTCTGAGGCTCTCCAACTTGTACACACCTCAGGATCACTTGAGGACTTCTTGAAACAGATTGCTTGGTGCCACCTGCAGAGTGTCTGATTCTATGGTGTGGGGCATGGTCTGAACATCTGCATTCCTAACAAATTCACAGGTGGTAACTGATCCTACTGGTCCCCAGGGCCACAGCTTTATAGCAACAGCATCGATGACATAAAACTCAGCCACAAAGCAAAGGGGAGAGGGCAAGTCCTTAAGAATAACTGGGGCCAGCAGGTGATATGGTTGTTAGGGTGCTGGACTCCCATGTGGCCAACTGCAGTTCGAGTCCCAGATTTGGTGTCTTCTTTCTCACTTTCCCTCTTTCTCTGTCTGTCTCTTTCTCTCTGGTGAGCACACATGCCCTGTAGCAAATATAATAACAATAACATTAATAATAATAATAACAAATTAAATAATTCTTTTTGATGAAAGAATAAAGAAGTTGTTAGGTTTCCCCCAAGCACCCTCCCATGCATCCCACACACTGACTGACACCTTTATTGAGCAGATGTATTCTTCAGGGATAGCAGGCGATTTCTGCTTTGTTGTAATCCAATCGCAGTCTCCAGAGTGACTGAGCACAGAGAACTAAGGGTTCACCAGCATCCCAGAGTTGGCAACTCAGTCAATTCTCTGAGAGCCTTGCCTTATCCAGGTAAGAAAAAGTCTGAGAAAAGGAGAAGAAATATTACCCAACTAAACTGGCGCAAAGAAGAGGGTGCTACTACACAATATTGATGTCCTAAGTAAACTCCAACATGCTGTGAGGGCCTCTGCATGCCTTTAATCCTGGCTGAGGGGACCAACATGGTGAGATCCTATCAATGGTACCTGTCTGTCCCAATCTCCCTCTGTCCATCACTTTTCTCTCTTGTGAAATAAATAAACTTAAAAAAAAAAAATAGAACAAACTTAGCCACACAACACAACCTGAGCAACTGGAGCACTCTAGACCTCTTCATAAGACCTTGGCAACCCCTGAAGCTCGATTGCAATTTGTGGCCATTAACACAAGCTGGGTCTCAGGTGACCTCAGAAAGCCTTTCTCTGATGTTTGTCTGGTTTCCTAGCAACCTAGACATTACGGAACTGAGGTGAAAACAAAAGGTTTTAAGAGATCATCCCCTGCTGACTGCCCCCACACCAGGTATTAGAAAGGATTTCTACAGTGTAAGAAGAGTGTCAGCTGCCAGCAGGAAGAAGGCCTGTGACCCCAATCCACAGGCTCTACCTAAAACCACAGGCCATTTACTGCAGCGTCCCGCTGCCACCACCACCACAATTAAAGCTACACAAAAGCACAATTGCAAACGATGCAGAGCAACGGTGGGCTGCAGGCAGTAAGACTAGTTCAGTGTGTAATAATCTGAAGTAAAACCAATGTTTTAAAGCTTAAGGCTTTAAGAAATACATGGCATGGGAATTTTTAGAAGTCAATATTATGAAGGGACTGCCATTTACCTATTAGCATAAAATGAACCAATATGGCAACAAATGCTGTCCCAGTGAGATGACGAGTCCATATTGCTGATGTTGGAAGGTGCAGAAGAGGGTGTTTGAAGAGGAAGTGGAAGTGTGAGTTTTGGAGTCAGCCATGCATTCAAGGCCCAGATCAGCCATTTAGCAGCTGAGTGATTTTGGCATATCACCAAAATCCCAAATCCAAACCATCAGGCAGTCCTTTTATCTCTACCACCAAAAAATATCTTCAGTCTGTCCACTTATCTCCATTGCTACCTGCACACACAAGCCACTGTCATCTCCTATCTGGTTTATTGCAATAGCCTGTTAACTCGTATCCTTGCTTCCATAGTTGCCACCCAACGACGCAGTCTCTAACCCAACAGCCAGAGTGATCTTTTTCTTTAATTGCCGTAAGTTACGCATAACTTAAAACTTATCATAACCATTTTTAAGTAAGTCAGTGTTAAGTATTTATACTCATATTGTTGTGCAACCAATCTCTAGAACTTTCTTAACATGCAAAACTGAAACTCTGTAAACAACTCCCCATTTCCTCTTTCCCCAACTCCTGACAATCACCATTTTCTGTTTCTATGAAGTTCAGTACTGTAGGTACCTTATATAAGTGAAATTATACAGTAGTCTTCTTTTTGTGCTTGGTTTATTTTACTGAGTGTAATCCCCACAAGGTTCATCCACATTGTAGCAGAATTGCCTTCCTTTGTAAGACTGAATAATACCTCATAGCATGTATATAGATCCTTTGGTTGATGTATTAATCCATCAATGGGCATTCAGGTTGCTTCTGTCTTTGGTTAATACAAATAATGCTGCTATGATGATGAGTGTGCAAACATCTCTCTGAGATTCTACTTTCAATTCTTTAGGATATATCCTCAGAAGCAGTGTTGCTGAATCATATGACAATTCCAGCTTGAACTTTTTGAGGATCCACCATAGTATTTCCATAGCATCTGCACCATGTTTCATCCCCACTAACAGTGCAAAATGAAGACCTCAGCCCTGTTGGGCTGAATAAGTGTTTGTCGTTATGGTGGTGATGAAGGGGGTAACTACCTGTTCAATGTAGAATGTTTAGCAGCATCCCTGACACCTACTCACTAGATTCTAGTAGCACCCACCCCCAAGTAGTTACAGTCAAAATTGTCTTCAGGCATTGTAAAGTATTCCTTGGGAGCAAAATCACCCCTGTTGAGGACCACTAGGTGAGATCATACTCTCGCAGCTAAACCCTTCTGACACCTTTCCATAGCACTGAGATCCAAAGCCTCCCATGACCAACAAAGTTCTCAAGACCTATCTTGCCCCCTTCTCAGATCTCATCTCTGTTCAGCTCTCCAGCATTCACTGGGCACTGGCACAGTGACTATCTTTTATCCCTCAGACACGACAGGCTTATTCCTACTTCAGGGCCTTTGCATTTGTAGTTCCCATTGCCTAGAACCCCATCCTCAGGTCTCTGCTTGACGAGTACACATCTCAACTCATAAGTCATCCACTTTAGGAGGTGTTCCTAGGCCACCCAGTTCAAGAAGCCTCTTTCTCAATTAAGTCAGAGTAATTGGATGCTTAAGACTTTGAGAAACATGTGTGTATAAGTCATGGCACTTTTTAGGAAGACATTGTTGTAGTGGTTTTCTTCTTCACTGTCTTTATTACCATCTATTGTTTTCAGTTGTGTAGAATCTATGGAATAAAAAATATAATTTATCATCTAAGTTGGAATATTTTGAGAGTGAAGGGGCATGCTAGAAATAATTAACATGTATGAACAATCCCATGAAAACCAGGGGCTTCTGGCAGCTCTAATGATCCCTCTCCTTGACTAGGATTTGAGCTCCATGAGAGCAGAGCTTTTGTGTTTTTTTTTTTTTTTTCCCATCATGTGTAGCCTGCACCTACAATACTAGGTGCCAACACACAGTAGGTGCTCAGTAAATATTGACAAAGAAATGTCAAAACTTTCTGACCTCAATTACTTGAACAATGAAAATAGGTGTGGTAACTATAACAAAATAGAGATTGTTAAAAGGAATAAATGGCTATCATAAACGTGCCATGGATCTCAACAAAATGCTTACCCCTTCTGTGCAATTTCCACAGAGAAGTAAAGCATCAGAATGGAAGAGAGCATAGCTCATGGAAGTGGAATCCCAGCACTGGAGGTGGTGGTCTAGACGTCCAGTGTTTCTCAACCTAGCCTATTCCTTATGAGAGTCACCTAGGGTGTGCTTGGTAAACACGTGCGCCCAAGCCCACTCCACAGAACAAGTGAAATGAAAGTACTGGAGGCCAGTCTCCGGCAGGTGAAGGCTCTTAAAGTTTCTTTGGGAATTCTGATGCACAGAGAGGCCAAAGCCACTAATATCACAGATGAGAAATCAAGTCCAGAAAAGGAAACTGCCCTTGGTCACTCACTCCACATGTTAGAAACCATACCAGACCCCAGATTTCCCACTTCCTCATCAGGGCTCTAGCCACTCTATTAAATAGCTTCTCAATGGCAAGTGTAGTTTGCCAACTTTGGAAATATCCTGAGGGCACTGAGTGGGAGGACCTGAGCTTGTCAGTGAGTTCTAGTCTTCATCTACAGGATCAAGGACCCAAGCTCAAAGTCAGGTTAACTCTCTTATCAGATAGATGATAGTCTTGCTCTCAAAGTTCTTAGCCTAGACAGTCTCCATTTGTGTCCCGTCCCCACCCCAGATTCCCTCTCCACCCTCTGCACTTACTCAGTGCCTGGGGAGGCTGGCCTTTAAGTAGTCTGTCATTCATGCTCCTTTGGCTTCTAAATCAGTTTAGCCAATAAGAGTTCCCATCAACAGATCAGAAGGTGAGAGTAGAGTGACAACAACCTGACCTCACTGGATTCTGTGAGGACAACTTGAATAGGTAAATCTAACCCCCCTTAGCTATTTTGCATAGCAAGTATCACAGGAAATAACATTCCATATTGATGCATGATAAGGCATGGGTAAATCTGTCCAGTGCTTGGGGGAGAAAATGGAGGTTAACTTATATTTATTGCAAAGCATTGAAACACAAAATAATTTAGGGGCCAACTTATGGTATAATGATTAAGGTCACTTGATCTCACATGGCTGACATCATGGTTCAAGTCTCGGACTTTAGAAACTTCCTGGGTTTTCATGCCCAAAATCCCAAGGGAAGGGACAGATGGAGAAGGGATTGTGTACCATTCACACCCCACCCCACCCCATGAGAAGTGCCTTGTCTCTTTTGCTTTCCTCTCTCTTTCTGTTCTCTTTCTCCAGTGAGCAAACATGACCTCTGGAAATTAAAAAAAAATAAATCAGTAAAACAGAATAATAAAAACACAAAAATTTAAAATCAGCTTTTTTCTACATTCCCTTTGTTTGTTGTTCTTGTTAATTACATCTTTCTTCTCTGGCACAGGACTACCTTCATTTTTCTTTCTCTAATCTGTTTACTTTATGAGCAACATTCAAACTTTTTACAACCTCTGTTGGCTTTCAAAGGGCTCCTGTACTTACAGTAACATTTTCCTGCCACTCAGGAATTGATTTCCTGGAGATGATGAACCAGAGCTGGACTCCAAGGAAGAGCCATGTGTTCTCAGCTTCCTAAACTTGGTCAACAGCCTGCATTGCCTTCCAGTGGTCCCTCCTCAGAAGTAATGGCCCTATCTCAGATGACAAGATTGAGATTTTTCTGAGCTTCAATCTACTACATAAATTTGGACACTAGGTGGAAAACTTTAATGAGGCCACAGCAGTTAGTGGAGTAGGAGGTGAACAGGCTGGGCTGCTCTGAACTCAACTCACCACTGGTCTGTATTCCTGAACAAGTCAATGAATCTCTCTATGCCTCAGTTTATTCATGTGTAAAACTGGGATAAAGATCAAGTCTATTGTAGGACCAATGGTAGATAGCGAATTCTTGGGTTTCTAACCATGAGGGGACCATGAGGAAGGAAGGGGATTTGTGAGGATCAACAATAGTGAATATTGGGATCAGCAGTTAGCGTAATGGCTATGTGGCTGGACTCCCATGTAGTCAACCATGGTTCGTGTCCCGGACCCGGAGGCTTAAACTCACACCAGGCGCATGTGCGTGCATGCCCGAGATCCCGAGAGTAGAATAGAGAAGGGATTGCAGCATGGCCATCCCCCCGGGGGGTGATTTCTCGCTTTCTGTTTCTCTGTCTCTCTCTGTCTTTCTGGCAAGCGCATGTGCCCTGTAGCAAAGCCTGCATTGCCTTCCAGTGGTCCCTCCTCAGAAGTAATGGCCCTATCTCAGATGACAAGATTGAGATTTTTCTGAGCTTCAATCTACTACATAAATTTGGACACTAGGTGGAAAACTTTAATGAGGCCACAGCAGTTAGTGGAGTAGGAGGTGAACAGGCTGGGCTGCTCTGAACTCAACTCACCACTGGTCTGTATTCCTGAACAAGTCAATGAATCTCTCTATGCCTCAGTTTATTCATGTGTAAAACTGGGATAAAGATCAAGTCTATTGTAGGACCAATGGTAGATAGCGAATTCTTGGGTTTCTAACCATGAGGGGACCATGAGGAAGGAAGGGGATTTGTGAGGATCAACAATAGTGAATATTGGGATCAGCAGTTAGCGTAATGGCTATGTGGCTGGACTCCCATGTAGTCAACCATGGTTCGTGTCCCGGACCCGGAGGCTTAAACTCACACCAGGCGCATGTGCGTGCATGCCCGAGATCCCGAGAGTAGAATAGAGAAGGGATTGCAGCATGGCCATCCCCCCGGGGGGTGATTTCTCGCTTTCTGTTTCTCTGTCTCTCTCTGTCTTTCTGGCAAGCGCATGTGCCCTGTAGCAAAAACCTCTCCAAAAAAAAAGAAAAATATATAGTGAATATCTAGTTCTTGGCACATAGAAAAGATCATAGATAATAGTTATTATTATTTCATAGGATTTTGTGAATATTGGATATCATAATGTGTAAAAATAACCAGTTGATGCCGGGGATGCAGTAGGTTTTCAATAAATGATACAATACACTTGAAACCAGATCTAAGAATATCTACAAGAAAATGTTCAAAGTAGTTCACTCTTCCCTGATATTTTGTTATGAAATGAGTGTTAAAAACATGAAGGCAACTCAACTCTCTCACTCTTCAAAGAGTTTTCAATCTAGTCTCTAGGTTCATTTATTTGATACTCATTTTGTAAAATATCAAAATAGCATCTTATGGCCAGAAACTATTGCTGAGGTCCCCTGGACTGGACATCAACAGTCCTGAAGACTGGACTCATCTCTCATGGAGCACTGTGGCTGCATCTCTGTGCTATGACTTTTGGGCTCTTAACCCATCATGGCTGGCCTTTTGGAAAAGACTCTAAAGAAAGAAGTTAATTAGTGATTATTATTGGGGTTTTACACAAAGAAAAAAAATCTATCCTTTGGGAATGGGGCTGAAATTCTCAGTTCCTCAGCCATCCATCACTGTCAAACAGGCAGAATGTAATCAATTGCTTCACATCAAAAAGATTGAATATCCAAGTGTAATCCATCTCCTGAACTTTATTACCAATATGCCTTTCTCAACCTTTTGATTAATCCAATTTTTTAGACTAAGAAAACTAACTGCAGCATCAGAGAAAAGGCACCAATTAACCCTTCCTTCCACCAGAACTACCACTAGTCACCATCTGTAATAAGAGATACACTTCAACTATTTCAAATACAACGATTGCTTAGTGAGACCAGAAAGCTAAAGAGCCTTCCTTGGGATCTATATCCAAAACAGCTGCTTCTCTAATACAGGAAAATAACCAGAAGCAAGAATGGACTGCCTGCTGTCACCAAAGCTGAGACTCCAGCCTCCAGACCCTGCCTTCCAGACCATTCTGCATAGGTCATAGCCCAGTGGTTATACACACAGGCCGTGGAATGGGCCAGGCTAGTCCCAAATAGTAGAGCTGAGGCCTACTTTCTGATTGCCTATGGATCCTGGAACTCAATTAAAATTCACCTCAAAGGATTATATAGTTTAAAGAAAGTAATGTGTGTGTATAATCACATAGCATAGTTTCAGTGCTCAAACAATCAACATAGTAATTATTCATTTTGATCATTACTTTTATAGAGAAAAGAAGGACCACATAGAAGAATTAATACCATAAGCTCAGTTCAAACACATATCACTGACTGGTATTGTCTCAGAAAGGCAGTCTTCTGGCATCAGAAGTCTCAGAATTTCAGTGGAGACCCTGCCCTTTTCCATTTGTTTCCATTGGTCTGATAGTCCCCAAATGGAAATCTTCTGCTATGCTATGATATTTGAAAATTCCTCAGACTTAGGAACCAGCAGTTAGCATAATGGCTATGTCGCTGGACTCCCACATAGTCGACTACGGTTCGCATCCCGGACCCGGTGGATTAGAACTCACGCCGGGCGCGTGTGCGTGCGTGCCCAAGATCCCGAGAGGAGAATGGAGGAGACCATCCCCCCGGGGGGTGATTTCTCTTTTTCTGTCTCTATGGCTCTCTCTCTCTCTCTCTCTGTCTGTCTGGCGAGTGCACGCGCCCTATAGCGAAAACCTCTCAAAAAAAAAAAAAATTCCTCAGACTCAAGGCCCCAGGCTGGAAGACCAGGTGTTGTATTTCTTAGAGAGCCTTGGGTGCATCTCTGGTTAGATTTCTACCTGGCATGTGGCACTCCACCTCTATCAGCCATTCATTCCTCCCTTAGAGCACAAGTTCTCTTTCTCCTCCAACACTGACGGTCTATGTTAGGGGCTAAACTGTGCCCTTCTAAAATACATATGCCAAAGCCCTAACCCCAGGACCTCAGAATGTGACTGTATTTGGAGATAAGGCCTTTAAAGAGGTGATTAAGTTAAAACAGGATTGTTGGGATGGACCCTAATCTAACATGGCTGATGTCCTCGTGAGAAGAGGAAATCTGGACTCCTAGAAAGACACCAGTAATGTGTATGTGAAGGAAGACCATCTGAAGACACAGGGAGAAGCCAAACCAACTAACACATTGATTTTGGACTTCTAGCCTTCAGAACCATGGGAAAAGAAAATTCTATTGTTCAAGCCACCTAATCTGTGGTATTTTTGCTATGGCAGCCTCAGCTGACTAATATAGTCTATTTCTTCCCCAACATCCAGACTCATCTATGACACCAACTCATAAGTTGAGATAAACCATGCTGACTCATTTTACGGCAGCTTGGGGAAATTCTGTTTCCAGACAATTACATTTGAAGTGTCACTCCATAGTGACAGAGAGGGAAGAGCCATGGAACCTGAGTGCACACTTTCCTTCTGGTTTCTTATTCTGTCTGCAGTGAGATGGCTTCCAAAGGTGAGGCAGGAGCAGTTACTGTCTATTTGCATCCAGCTTCTTCTCATGGCCAAGATCCCTTCACACAATCATTTCTAGTCTCTTCACTGGATCTCTCCTCTCATGAATATGCACCAAACCACCCACAAAAGGAATTCACAGTTTCCAATTCCATTTCTACACTTAGCAAAATGTATCCCATCTGAGGCATTGTGGGGAGCTCCATGATGTGGCTGTAACCTGCACATCCAAACTAAGGCTCTCTGGATGTGCCTGCCCCCCTACACCACATCATAGTGTACTAAAACCTAGGGGAAGGCAGACAATTGCATAGACTACAAAGTGAATAGCAGTTATGTAGTGCAATCTGCACAGCTGCACAGAAGCCCTGGCAGAAGCCAGGTCTTAGACAATTCATCTCCTTCCCTGCCTCTTGCTGAACAACTAAAATGGCCTTTGTAAATAGTATTGATTCACTGACATTTCAAAGTATTTTTTTCCAAAGGGAAAAAAGTAAAAGTCAACAAAGAAATAAAAAAGACTCCGATACATATTAGGTCAATACTGCAGCTCTTTGGATCATGTGTCCACTACTCAGGACACGAGCAATTGCTCAGAAGAGGTAAAATGACCCAATGTATGTAGTCTCTAGGGAGGAAAGAGATCAGGTGCTACTTGAAATTTTGATGTTCCTTCCTCAGTATCATGATTGAGCATTACCTATAATAATCTTAATTCTTTCATTTCAATAATGATTTTGCAGAGGCAAGTCAGTGCTACAGCTGTAAAATGATGCTCTGCAAAGCTGAGCCACAAGGGAAAGCTCCTGGTTGGCATTTGGAGATCTCCCTGGGTACAGCAGGCACTTAGGTGCCCATGATCCAGGGCTGACTGAGGCTGGGAGTGAATTTGCAGTATCAAAACCCTGTTGGAGGTGCTATTTCTCTCTCTCTCTCTCTCTCTCTCTCTCTCTTACCCACTGTCTCTCTTGTTCATGGAAGAAATTTTTTTTTAAAGTTAAAACATAATAATCACTTTGGCCTTCTTAAATTGCTGTTTTCACTAGGAACTGCTGAGTATATCCAAATCCATTTATTGATTTAGAAACAATAATGTCAGGACCAGCAGGTGGCACGGAAGCTAAGGTGTTGAATTGTACCTGGCCGACAATACAGTTCAAGTCCTGGACAGAAAAAAGAGACTGACTTGAAAAACACGCCGGTCGCAAAGTGTTGTGGCATGGCCATCCCCTCAGGGGTGGAAGGGGGGATTTCTCATTTTCCTTCTCTCTTTCTGCCTCTCTCTGGCGAGCACATACATTCTATAGCAAAACCAAAAGAAAAAGAAAAAAGAAAAAATGTCTTTTTCCTTAGAGTTTCTGTGGATGGGCCAGTACAAGAACATACTGCAGAGAGTTGGGATCTGACAGAGTCTCAGAGGAAAGCATCTATCTTGTGACTTACAGGGTCTATTCCACTTCATAGAGATTGATTCATAAGTCGGAAGGCCTGTTTGTTAGTTTAAGATGAGAAATAAACTCTC